ATAATTCACATCACTCAATTTCCTTTCAATTTGATAACATCCATTAAACCTTGCTTTTCAAGGTTCACCTACCACTAGGAGTAACACTAGCACTTTATCTCCAGTAGCAAACTTACAAATTTTTGATTTCTTGTCTGCTTCCTGTTTCATCACATGCTGTACTACTTTCAAATGCTGTCAAGTCAACTCATTATTTAATGAGCTCTATTTAATCTTTCCCTTAAATTTGACATATAGTCTAAATAAGTTCTCACTGAACTTACCAATTTTTCCTTAACTAATTTAATTGGACCTCTCACCGCATGCCTAAAAACTAATTCAAATGGACTAAATTTAGTTGATTCATTAGGTGCCTCCCTAACTGCAAAAAGTACAAGTGGAATTCCTTTGTTCCAATCCTCTGGATAGTCTTGACTATAAACCCTCAACATTGTCTTTAAAGTTTGATGCCACCCCTCTAATACATTAAAACTAATGATTCTGGATGGTGTGCAGTGGATTTGAATTGTTTTATTCCTAAATTATCCTTAACTTCCTTGAATAATTTTTGATGCAAAATCTGATCCTTGATACAATTGTATTTCTGTGAGTAGACCATATCTAGTAAAAAAGAGTTTGAGTAACTCTTTTACAATCCTTTTAGCCATGATACTGCATAATGGAATGGTCTCTGGAAATCTAGTAGATGCATCCATTATGGTTAATGAAACTGATTTCCACTTCTTGATTTATGTAGGGCTTCTACACAATCAATGAAGACGCTTCTAAAAGGTTCCTCAAATGAGGTATTAAGGGTGTTGGTTTTATCACTGCCTGAGGTTTTCCAATTACGTGATATGTATGATATGTCCAGCAAAATTCAAGCATATCTTTATGCAGACCATGCTTATAAAAATATCTTTGTATTTTGGCTTGAATTTTCCTTCAAACGACCTCCTACTAGTAATTCATGTGCTACCTGCAACTCCTCCTTTCTATAACCCACTAGTAATACAACTTGAAGAACCTCTGCCCATTTCTCATCCACCTGAATATGGGATGGTCTCCATTTCCTCAACAAAACTTCATTTTGAAGATAGTAACATTCTGGGATAAACTCAGGCTCTTCTTCTGTGTATGTTTTTAGTTTATCATCTTTCCATTGTAATTCAGCTATTTTCACTGAATTAAAAATATTCGCTTTGTCCTCCATCTGCTCTTGTTTTATCCAACTATTTGATCAAACGTAGTTACTGATAATTGAACTTTAACTTCCTTAACTTTGCTCTTTGATTTCTCCTCCTGTTTCCACTTATGGCTTTGTAACCTTTTTACCACACAGTCAGGAAAAATCCCAGGATATATTTCCTGTAACGCCTCAGTTACCTAATTTCCGACTGGTTTCTCAACCACAGTATGCTTCACTCTCACCTTTGATCCAGCTATACCATTACCAAGGATAATCTGTATTTCTGGAACAGAGAATTTCTCTATTACACATATTGCCAATTCACCACTTTCCACCAGACCCTGAAACCTTAATCCATATAATGGAACACTGCTCTTCTCACCATGAGTTCCACACATTACCACTTTTTCCGGCAATACTCCTTCTGAATTACATATCTCCTCATCTCTCACTACCAAAGATTGACTTGCTCCCGTATCTCTTAAAATCTTAATCTCTTTACCTGCTCTCCCGGCATACATGAGTAAATGTTACCCAGGCAAGTAAATTCTTTAAAGAGATCTGGCACTTTTTCCTCAACCAACCCCCGAACAGGTTGTACTTTCTTTTGTAGCTTTTTAGCTTCCACTGTGCTTTCCTTTACTACTTCAACAAAACTCACTGCCTTATCCTGTTTTCCCACACCCATCTACCCAATGCTTTTTCTCAATCACCAACACTGCAACTTCAGGTGACATACTTTCTTACAGTGAAAGCACCTGATCTTTTTTACTTCTCTTTCCCTGTCATGGGTTGCCTTTTTACATTGTGGTAAAGTATCTTTGTTATCTACAATGAGATCTCCTTTTCCCTTACTACCTGATGATTTCTCTTTTCCCCAATTTCTAACCCTAACAGATGGAAATTGATGTCGGAAGCCATACTTTGATTTATGAACCAACTCATAATCATCTGCCATGACCACTGCTAATCTTGCAGTCTTAACTCTCTGCACTTCCACATGAGTTCTCATTACTTCAGGAAGTGAATTTTTGAACTTCTCCAAATTAATTTTCTCTCAGAGTGTCATATATTTAATCTATTTTCAATGCCCTTATCCACCTGTCAAAGTTACTTTGTCTGATTCTTTCAAACTCTATGTGCATTTGACCAGGGTCCCTCCTTAGATTCCTAGAATGTTGTCTGTAGGCTTCCTGATATTAGGTCATATGCACTTAAGATGGCATTTTCATCTCATTATATCCCCAAGATACCTCTTCTGATAGTGACGGAAATACCTCACTAGCTCTACCTACCAACTTGTTTAGCTCAACAATAACCACATGGTCACTGACCATTTCATTTATTTAGCCACTTTCTCAAATGAAATGAGAAAGGTTTCTACATCCTTCTCATGGAACTTATGCAATGCTTGGATATATTAAAACAGATCCCCACCAGGCCTTTGGCTATGATGGGATTGCTCTCCATCACTGTTCTCAACACTACTCCTACCTTACACCTCTACCTCTGCCATTTTAAGTCAATGTTGAGTTTCGTTCCAACCTCTGAAATTCAAAAACTCTCTCTTACTCCCTTTTTTCTACTACGGCCATCCTTTCCTTTTCTTTTTCCCCAGCTTTCAATCATAATTCAAACTGTTTCATTTCCTTTTCTCTTTACTTTTGTTCTGCCAGGGATATTCTTTCCTTTTCTTTTTCCCTTGCCATTGCCTCAAATTCACACTACTTCATTTGTAACTGAATTTTAGCAAACTCCAATGATTCTGGTGATATTACTGGCAATTGCAAATGTAGAGCTATTGCTGCAATTATTTCTCCTTTTCTCATAGACACAGGCAACTCCAACTTCAACCTGTTTGCCAATTCCAAAAGCTTTGCCTTGCTCACATTGTGTAAAACACCCAAAGTGACTTCTTCCACCCCAGGAAACTCTTAGTGACTGAAAGAGCCATTGTTATACAAGGCACACCTTATTTCAACCAGCCGAATGTAACACCGAAAATAAATAAAAAAGACTCACCACTCACTGCCTCTGAGTCTAATAATCCTTAAAACCAACCTAGAATTAGAAATTTTGATCCTGACAAGAACCCCAGTTTGTTATGGACCAGATGAAACCCTCTCAAAATATATTAAGAAGATAGCCTAGAACCAAACATTTTCTTATTTTATAGGTTGGTGTAAAGCGTTGTGTTCCAGATGCAAGTCAATTGGTCAAACTACTTGACTTTAAACAAAAAAACACTTCATTTTTACACTACAGTTAAAATACAGACAAAATAAAAATTAAAGATTTGGCTTAACTGGAACTCTATTGGAAGGCTTAACAAAATAACAGATATATTAACTATTACTAATTAATTGTCCCAGTATAGTAAAATCCCATAAACATACTCTTGGCAAAGGCAAATTCAATAAAATAGATTTGTCTCACATGCAATTCTAGCAGCAGGAAGAGAGCCCCAGAATTTAACAGAGAGAGGAAATAAGAGCTTTCGCATCCAGCTTCAAGAACCCAGAAACTTCTCAAAACTAAAACTAAAAATCCTGGTTCTGTGGGAACTTGACCCCAAATTTAGGCTACTTCTTTTGTTCCAACTTAAAAAAAACCCACAAGGCATCACAAACTGTTTAACTTTGTTGACATGGAGCAGATGCTCGACATCTCCGTCTCTACCTTTCATGATAAAAAAAAGGACAAAATACACCTCTTAAAGCCGTAGTATCATCACGTTATCCCAGCTTTCCTTTTTTTAAAATATGTGTGCTTGTAAAATAATTTACTTTTGTTTAGCGCTTCTTAACATTTATTTTCCTAATTTTTCTTTTGCATTCCTCTTTTGTCTTCCGAGTTATTTTTCTGAGTTTTCTTCGAATCTCTTCATCTTCTCTTTCATCCCACATTCCTCTGCTGTCTGTGGACTCAATGGTGTCTCAGCAGCATTTAATTTTTCATTTCCTTCTCGTAGAATATATTTTGCCTGCAACCTTTTTAAACGTTTCCCATTCTTCTACATCATTTGCCAATAATGTTGGCCATTTTACCTCCGAAGTTCTATTATGAGGCCCTCTAAGCCAACTTTCCTCAAATCTAGTAATCTGTTTTGTCTTCTGTTATACCTATTTCCTTCTCTATTGTCTATTTAAACATTTTATTTTATGGTCATTGTTACCCAGCTGTTCCCCTATTTTTACTTATCTCCTCCGGTCCATTCCCCATTCCTTGAACACATAATCATCCATTGATGGGAATTTTAGGTGTTGCGTTAAAATGGAATCCTGTATATATTGTAGTAATTTCATTTCTTTATCCTGTTTACCCATCTGGTCTGTCCAATTAATAATGGCGATCTCTTGTGATTGTTATTCCATGATTTTTACTTATTTCCCTAATTTGTCTGGATATTTCCTCCACTACCTCCCTTCCACTATTTAGTGGTCAGTAGACTTCATTTGTCATAGTAATTGATCGTTTATTACCTTTTATCTCTGTCCATTCTATTTCCTATTTTTGCACCAGATGTGTTCATGTTACTTTATGGTCACTTAATGCATCATTTTCCTATACATAATACATATCAAAATTCATTTAATGCACAGCTAATACTGTGATAACAATTCTAGGTAGCTGCTATAAATATTAGAAGGCTGAGTGGACCCCTAATTAGCACTTTTAATGCAGAAATATAGATGTCAATTGCTAATGTGTAAAGCAGGTTTATGAGTTCATTGTGCTCATTAGCTGAATGCTATAACTAAAGTACCTTCATTACACAGTTGCTTATCTGTAATTTTTTTCTAAGAAGTTGAATTATTTCCTTCAAATGCAGGGCCAATTACACTCTGTGACTGTATAAAGAGAGCTGATTTTCACCTCTGAATACAGACAAGGTGCAGGATTCATTCCAAAGAACAGGTGGAAGTCAAGTGAAGAATCTACAAAGGTAATGAAGTTCTGCTTCTCTCTTCTAACCAAAGATAATATTCTCTTCCCCTTATCTGTGGGGCGATTTACTAGAGACTTTTTATGCTCTGAAGGATTTTGATTGGGTTGCTGTAAAGAAGGTGGTTTCACTTGTAAGAATCCCAAAATTAAGGCTGACAACTATAAGTTGGTCATTAACACGTCCAATAGAAGAATCAGGAAAACTACCTTACCCAGAAAGTGGTGTGACTATGGAAATTGCTACAACATTTCCATATGGAGTGCTTTAGGTGAATAGCATAGGTGCCTTTAAAGGGAAGCAAGATGAATCCATGAAGGAGAAAGGAATAAAGGTAATGGTACTTTTGGTTGGGTGCAATGATTTAACCTGGAAGGAGATTCACATACAGCATAAATATAGTGTAGACCCTGAGATAACAAGGTGTGGAGCTGGATGAACACAGCAGGCCAAGCAGCATCATAGGAGCAGGAAGGCTGATGTTTCGGGCCTAGACCCTTCATCAGAAATGGGGAGGGGAAGGGGGTTCTGAAATAAATAGGGAGAGAGGGGGAGGCGAATAGAAGATGGATAGAGGAGAAGATAGGTGGAGAGGAAACAGACAGGTCAAAGAGGCGGGGATGGAGCCAGTAAAGGTGAGTGTAGGTGGGGAGGTAGGGAGGAGATAGGTCAGTCCAGGGAGGACGGACAGGTCAAGGGGGCTGGATGAGGTTAGTAGGTCGGAGATGGGGGTGTGGCTTGAGGTGGGAGGAGGGGATAGGTGGGAGGAAGGGCAGGTTAGGGAGGTGGGGACGAGCTGGGCTCGTTTTGGGATGTGGTAGGGGGAGGGGAGATTTGACTAAATGGCTTGTAACCTTCTGGTGTAATCACTTCCTGAAGGTGCTAGCTCAAGCTGCTGTTTGATCCTTCAAGTTTATTTTACCCAAGTGAGTGTTTTTTTGGCAATTGACCGTAGTCAGCAAGCATTGATCATGTATTGATTGTGACTAGCAATTGACAGCAGGGACACTAGGTATGATCAAGAGTGGGAACTCCAGCTGATTTATCTCTTCTTAGCCCAGAAACCCTGAGGACTATTGCTTTGACCCCAACCTCTGCCATAAATAGAGCAAGTAGCTCAATTTAAATCTAAATTTAAACTGAAGGAATAGGATAATGGAGACACATTTTTGAATCTGCAATAGAATTGATAATTTAAAGACTGGTATCTGAGAACAAAATAACACAAAGAATTATCAGCATATGAAATATGATGTGATTGTGCAGACAGAAATTATGGAAGTTGCTCGATTGCTTGTTAAATTTAATCTAGGTGGGCAAATTAAGATGGGCCGAGTGGCCTCCTTCATTATTATCCTAAAAACAGATGTAAAAATGAACTAGAAGCTTCTGGTTGAGTGGTGTGAGACAATGCTATCACCTATTTTACTATGGATGCTCTTTTAAATTAAATGTGTTTTGGGGACCTTGCAATAAGAACACTGAATTCCATGCACCTTATACATATATACGTATAAAATCCATAGTTCTAAATTAATTAGTTCAATGTTGCAGGGATCCATTGTTGGTCTCAATAGATAAACACAGGGGAGAAAAATATTCTATCCTTCAGCAATCTTGTGTAAAGTTTTGCAATGTACTATTCAAGATTAGAACGCTAGTGTCCTCTAGTGGGGAATAATGATCACATCAGATTTTATTACTCATTAATTCTTTTTGGCTTTTGTTAATACATTTTAATTAGCACATTAACCATAGCATTTCATTATTGGACATGTTCAATAAAAGTGACAATAAATGCATTAATTTTGAAATTGTAAAACTGTATTGGATCATTTCAGTCTCAAGCACAAATGACCAACAAAATAGACTGAATTCGATGTTACAAATGGCTTAATGCATAAACACATCACCACTATGAAGTTGGCATATTATGTGATAATAAAGAACAGCAAGATTCAGGTTTGTTACATGGTCTGTGCCCAGTTAGTTTGGGCATCAAGGAGGGTATTGGAATTTATCTCTCGATCTCTGGGCTACATAGGCAAAAATAATAAAAATAAATTGGTGTGGATTGCTGCTGCTCCTGATGGGTGTCCGCAGACTCACGAGCTGATGGCATTGAGTTTAACTGTGTGTGGCCATCCTGCTGGAATAGCGTACAATACCCACACGAAGCATGAAAGAGGTACCATTGTTGACTAGTTCCTGTGGTAACATAAACCACAATTGGCACAGTCACAAGAACAAGGCGTATAATTAGGAGCAAGAAAAACATAAAAAGAAAGCTGATATTGCACATAAACTTTCCTTCCTTTTGTAGTAAAACACAGATTATTGATGTTCAATTGGACTTGCTCCAAATTAACACGATAACATCTGCCAGCAGGAAAATAGAATTTCACAATGTTACACTTTAATCCATTTAATGTTGTTGCAAATTCCCTGATTCTTTTAGTTTCAGAATTGGGGGAGAGTGACATATGAGGGAGGAAGGGGTGTGTGAAATAGGGTGGTAGTGAGGTGAAGTGAGTTGGAGGAAGAGTGACAGAGGGTGGTGAGCATGGGTAGAGTGACACAGGGTGGAGTGGGTGGGGGGCAAGAGTGACACAGGTTGGGGTGGTGGAAAAGTGAAACAAGGTTGAACAGGTACTGTGAACTTGTCTGAAAACTTTGTATTTCCAGGAACTTCCAAAGATGCTTGCTCCAATGTTGCTTGTGCTTCTATCCACCCTTGTGGGATCAATTTGGACAAATGAGAGTGAAAGCAGGTAATGAGAACACTGAGCTCTGATGGATGAGCTAAGTTTTATAAAACAGGAACAGTTTATATGTTCAGTGATTCTATTAGTTCAGTTAGCATGTTTCTGAGTCTTGGGTTACCTGGTTCAAACCTAGGTTTCAACTCAGTTAACTGCTTTTGGTGCACTCACAGAAAGAAATGTGTTGCATTTATATATCCCCTGCATTAACTCAGAGCATCCTGAAGGATTTTACAGCCAATGATCTTTTGAATTACTTTTCTCACTATAATAAATAAATAAATGTACTGAATTGGCTGTAAAACACTAAGATGTTAGCTGATTATGAAAGGTACTACATATATGCATGTCTTCATTTTTGCAGTTAATGTTATAATGTAACAAATACAGCAGATAATTTGGACACAACAAGGTTCCATAGTCAGTATTCTCCAGAGCAATTAGAGATGGGCAATAAATGCTGGCCTAGCTAGCAATGCCAACAACTCCTTGAACAAACACAATAAGGGACAAATGATCAGATTATCTGTTACATAGATGTTAGTTGAGGGATAAATATTGACCAGGACACCAGGGAGTTCTCCTCTGCTTTTCTTCAGAATAGTACTGTGGAGGTTTTCACAGCCACTAGAAGGGTAGATGGGGCTTTTTGTTAATGGAGTTGGGAAGTCATGTTGAGGTTGTACAGCATATTGGTGAGGGCTGTTCTGGAGTACTGTGTCCAGCTCTGGTCACCCTGTTATAGGAAGGATATTATCAAGCTGGAGAGGGTTCAGAAGAGACTTAGCAGAATGTTGCCGGGTATGGAAGGATTCAGTTATTAAAAAAAAGGCTGGAAAGGCTGGGACTTTTTTCACTGGAGCATAGGAGGTTGAGAAGCGACCTGATAGAAGTTTATAAACTAATGAGTGGTATAGTAGAGTTAATGCTAGTTGTCTTTTCCCTAGGATGGGGGATTTCAAGACTAGGGGGCACATTTTTAAGGTGAGAGGATAGAGATTTAAAAAAGACATGAGGGGCAAATTTTTTACACAAAGAATGGTTCGCATGTGAAATGAACTTCCAGAGGAAGTGGTAAATGTGAGTACAATTCCAAAGTTTAAAAGACATTTAGATAAGTACAGGAATAGGAAAGGTTTGGAGGGATATGTGCCAGGACCAGGCAGGTGGAACTAGTTTAGTTTGGGATTATGTTCAGTATGGACTGGTTGGACTGAAGGGTCTGTTTCTGTGCTGTATGACTCTATGACTTTGACTGTACAATAACATTGTTCATGTTTCTTGTTGAACCGCAGTCACTCAATCCTGGATGTAAAGCCGACAGAGAAACGGTACTCTGAGGCTATTTTAGCCAGTGACTACAGTAAATATGTTGACACCATGATGTCCAAAAACTTTGTTGATTGGTTAATCGCAGCCAAACGGACCAGTAGAAATGGGTGAGCAGCTTCAAGGACTAAAATATTCACAATAGTAAGAACTCCTTCATTGGTGAGAATATAAAGCTTGCGAATTTAGTCAAACTTTATACAAACACAATTGTTACCTATTTTGTCATGCAGATATGTTTGGTATTTTGTCTCTGCCACATTGATGGTTCATGTGGAACTGCACCACCTGACTGTCTACCGATCAAAAATATGTGACTTTAGGATGAACTAAGAAGTTGTTCCATTTGTGTTCGATACCTGTGGTGGCAGCATTAATATGAGATAATATTCTGACAGGTAATGACTAAATGGATGCAGAGAAGATAAAGAGAATTATGTCGAATATACATCATATAAACAGGACACTCAGTCCAACTGGTCTGTGCTAGTGTTGATGCTTTCTACAAGTCATCTCCGATCACATCTATCATTTGACATATTTTTCTGTTCCCTTTTGTGTTACGTAGTCACCTTGTTTCCTTCTGAAAGTCTCTGAGTTATTTGCCTCAACTACTTACTGTGTTTGTGAATTTTACATTCTAACCATTTCCTGAGCATTACAAATTGTCCTAATTTCTGTGTTTGATTTGTTAGTAATTAAGTAGTTCTGTGTAAAAATCTGAACTCCCCTCAAAGAATCTAATACTTGAAAATTATTCAACACTTTGAAATTGATTCTTTGTCAGTGGAACTCTTCCAGTACCTCTGAGACCGCACTTGTATGGATAAGGAAGATCCCAAGTTAAACTCCTGCCTTGCTAAGCTCAATCAAGGCTACAGGAACTATCTCATATTTACACCCCTGATTTTGGATTCTCCCACAAATAGAAACTTCTTTCCACGTCTGCGCTGTCCAGTCAATAATTTAAAAGACCACTTCAGGTTTCCTGCAAATCTGTTTCTCCTGTCATCTAGTGGCTCAGTAGGCAACATCCCTGTTACTGAGCCAGAAACTCTTAAGTTTAAATGCCACTTTAAGCCACTTTAAGAGGTTCAAACAAGTTATCTTTCCAATAACATAAAACACAGAACTGCAGATGTTGAACATCTGAAACAAAAACAGAGATAGCAGGAACTGCAGATGCTGGAGAATCTGAGATATCAAGGTGTAGAGCTGGATGAACACAGCAGGCCTGTGTTGAAACAAAAACAAAAACAAAAACAGGATTGCTGGAGAAACTCAGCAGGTCTGGCAGCATCTATGGAGAGAAAGCAGAGTTAACGTTTTTGAGTCCAGCTCTGGAGAAGGATCCCTGGACTTGCAATGTTAGCTCATCATCCTTCCAACACTTTCCTCTATTTCCTAAAAATGAACAAGCCTTCTCTTCTAAAGAATCAGTTTAGCCTGGGAATGGCATCACAACTGATGGTTCTGTTCCATATCAGGTATCCTTGAAGTTGCATTTCCCAGCAAGTGATCGCTGCATAATGATCATGAGTAGGGCATAGACTCAGAGAGTCATAGAGATGTACAGCACAGGAACAGATCCTTTGGTCCAATTGTCCAAGCCGATCAGATATCCTAAATAAATCGAGTCCCTTTTGCCAGCATTTGGCCCGTATCCCTCCAAATTCTTCCTATTCATATACCCATTCAGATGCCTGTTAAATGTTGTGATTGTATCAGCCTCCACCACTTCCTCTGGCAGCTCATTCCATACATCCACCCTCTGCATGAAAAAGTTGCCCCTTAGGTCCCTTTTAAGTCTTTCCCCTCTCACCTCAAACCTATGCCCCTCTAGTTTTGGACTCTCCCACCCCTCATCTGTTTACCCTATCCATGCCCCTCATGATTTTATAAACCTCTGTAAGACCACCCTGTCAGCCTCCGATGCTCCAGGGAAAATAGCCCCAGTCTATGCAGCCTCTGTTTATAGCTCAAACCCTCCAACCCTGGCAACATCTTTGTAAATCTTTTCTGAGACCTTTCAAGTTTCACAACATCCTTCCTATAGGAGGGAGACCAGAATTGCACACAGTATTCCAATAGTGGCCTAAGATATGTTCTGTACAGCCGCAACATGACCTCCCAACTCCTATACTCAATGCACTGACCAATAAAGGCAAGCGTACTAATCACCTTCTTCACTATGCTATCTACGTGTGACTCCACTTTCAAGTAACTATGAACCTGCACTCCAACGTGTCTTTGTTCAGCTACACTCCCCATTAAGTGTATAAGTCCTGCCCTGATTTGCCTTTCCAAAACACAGCACCTCACATTTATCTAAATTAAACTCCATCTGCCACTCCTCAGCCCATTGGCCCATCTCATCAAGGTCCCATTGTACTCTGAGGTAACCTTCTTCACTGTCCACTATATCTCTAATTTTGGTGTCATCTGCAAACTTACTAACTATACCTCCTAGGTTCACATCCAAATCATTTATATAAATGATGAAAAGCAGTGGACCAGCAGCAATCCTTGTGGTCACGGGCCTCCAGTCTGAAAAGTAATCTCCGACCACCCTCTGTCTTCTACCTTTGAGCCAGTTCTGTATCCAAATAGTTCTCCCTCCATTCCATGTGATCTAACCTTGCTATCCAGTCTACCATGAGGAACCTTGTCAAACGCCTTACTGAAGTCCATATAGATCACGTCCACCACTCTGCCCTCATAAATGCTCTTTGTTACTTCTTCAAAACATTCAATCAAGTTCGTGAGACACAATTTAAAGCCATGTTGACTGTCCCTAATCAGTGTTTGCATTTCAAATACATGTAAATCCTGTCCCTCAGGATTTCCTCCAATAAATTGCCCACCATTGATGTCAGGCTCACCTGTCTATTGTTCCCTGGCTTTTCCTTACCATCTTTTGTGAGAAGTGGCACCACGTTAGCCAACCTCCAGTCTTCTGGCACCTCGCCTGTGGCTATTGATGATACAATTATCTCAGCAATGGGCCCAACAATCTCTTCCCTAGCTTCCCGTAGAGTTCTAGGGTACATCTGATCAGGTCCCGGGGATTTACCCACCTTCATGCATTTTAAGATGTCTAGCACCTCCTCCTCTGTAGTAAGGACGTTTTTCATGATGTCGCTATTTATTTCCCCACGTTCTCTATCATTCATATCCTTCTCCACAATAAACACTGATGCAAAATACTCGTTTGGTGTCTCTCCCATCTCCTCTGTTTCCACACATAGAGAACCTTGCTGATCTTTAAGAGGTCCTATTCTGTCCTTAGTTACTCTTTTGTCCTTAATGTACTTGTAGAATCCCTTTGGATTCTCCTTAATCCTATTGGCCAAAGCTATCTCATGTCCCCTTCTTGCCCTCCTGATTTCCATCTTAAGTATGCTCCTACTGCCTTTATTGTCTTCTAGAGAATCACTCAATCTCTGCTGTCTATACCTGACATATACTTCCTTCTTAGTTTTGACCAAAACCCAATGTCTATAGTCAAGCAGCATTCCCTACGCCTACCAGCCTTGCCCTTCATCCTAACAGGAACATACTGTCTCTAGACTCTCGTAATCTTATTTTTGAAGGCTTCCCATTTTCTAGTCATTCTTTTAACTGTTAGCATCCACCCCCAATCAAATTTTGAAAGTTCTTGCCTAATAGCATCAAAATTGATCTTCCACCAATCTAGAACTTTAACTTTTAGATCCAGTGTATCCTTTTCTGTCACTATGTTAAAACTAATAGAATTATGATCCCTGGTCCCAAAGTGCTCCCCCACTAATACTTCAGTCACCTACCCTGCCTTATTTCCCAAGAGCAGGTCAAGTTTTGCACTTTCTCTAGTAGGTACATCCACATACTGAATCAGAACATTTTCTTGTACACACTTAACAAATTCCTATCCTTTCCAGCCCTTAACACTATGGCAATCCCAGTCTATGTTTGGAAATTTAAAATCTCCTACCATAACCGCCCTATTATTACAGATAACTGAGATCTCCTCACAAATTTGTTTCTCAATTTCTGGCTGACTCCTGGGGGTCTACAGTACAATCTCAATAAGGTGATCATTCCTTTCTTGTGTCTCAGTGCCACCCAAATAATTTGGCTGGATGTATTCCCAGGAATATCCTCCCTAAATACAACCATAATATTGTCCCTTATCAAAAATGCCACTCCTTCTCCTCTCTTGTCCCTTTTGATCCTTCCTATAGTGTCTGTACCCTGGAACATTAAGCGGTCAGTCCTATCCATCCCTGAGCCATTTCTCTGTAATTTCATAGCAATTATCCCAGTCCCACGCTCCTAACCAACAAGATTGTTGTTTGTGTGTGTTGGATGGATTTGGAATATGAGAACTTTTTTGGGGGGCAGCAGTTCTTGACACAGAACAAGAAACTCAGCTGCTTCAGCAGTGTCAGTGAGTGGCTTTCATTTGGGATCCGAGGTCATGCTGAGGCCAAGAATATTAACAGCTGAAGGGGTTGCGGTGGAACCATTGAAAGTCAGAAGTGAGAGTGGCTGATTGTTTAAAAAAGTGTAGTGTTATTGGGTATTGCTAGCAAGAGCAGCATTTATTACCTGTACTTGATTGCTTTCCAAATGAGTGGCTTACTAGGTCATTTGAGAAGGCATTTAAGAATAAACCATATTGCCATGGGTCTGGACATGTGGGTCATAGAGCAGATTGGAAAAGGATGGAAGTTTAGACCTCATGTGATGGAATAACATGCTGTGGACGTGATTTACACTTTATAAAAGCTGAGCAGAAAGGAGTTAAATGAGTAGTTAAACTCCCAGTCAGTCACTCCACTGGGAATTAATCTGAGAATTTGTAACGATAGTAAGGATATCTGCCTGAGCCCAGCATTTATGAATTCTACTTAACGTGTACTGTTTTGGTTTGTTTATTTTCTAGCGAATCTCTTGAAGGTGTGAAGAGGGATATAAATGTGGTGCCCACCACACCTCGCTCTCCCAACTCAGAGCTTCAGTCAGCTAAAAACTTCCAGGTCTGGCTCTTAAAACACCAAGGAAAGAGAAGGTAAGTTGTAGGTTCCTGGATGGTAAAATGATGAAGGAACTAAGTGGTATCTTCGAAAAAAAGGCTGTATTTACATAACACCCTCATGACCTCAGATGTTCCAAAGCATGTTACAGAAAATGAGTTACATTTGAAGTATAATCACTGTTGTATTAAGGTAGGAAGTATATGGCAGCCATTGTACACAACAAGCTCTCTTAAATAGTATTGCTATATTAAGGGGAAAATATTTATCCCAGGACAAGGAGAACCACTTTGCTTTTCTTCAAATAGTGTTGTTGCAACTTTTAAGTCTCCCTTGGACTCCGGTGAGGCCTGGGTTTAATGTTTGATCAAAAAGATGGTACTGCTGAAAGTACAGCACTCCCTCAGTGCTACGATTTCACCCTAGATTAGGTGCTGAAATCTCTGAGGTGGGACTTGAATGCACAACTTTCTGAGATGAAGCAAGAAAGCTACCCCATGAAATAAGGTTGAATTCTGCAAAAGCAATGAAATGAAAGGTTGACCTGTTGGTATTCTTCAGTTTGTTACCAAGAGTTTGCTGACTTTTCAATGATGATGCTAGGGGTTTCTGATTGTTCAGGATTATCCTGGAGTCGCAGGAATCAGAGATAATTTAGTTTTTTACAATCCTGTGAAGTATCTTTGGATGTTTTATTCTCAGTCTAAATTGTTGCTGTTATTAATTGAATGGACATTACCTTAGCAATCATAGAGTCATAGAGTCAGACAGCATGGAAACAGACCCTCTGGTCCAACCCATCCACACCAACCAGACATCCCACTCTGACCTAGTCCCATTTGCTAACATTTGGTCCATATCCCACTACACCCTTTCTATTCACATATCCATCCAATTTCTTCAGATAAAAATAGTAACGAGCATTAAAAATACACTTTTTCTTTCAAATTCTCTTTAAGGATCTTTATTGATTAGCTATAAGAATATTGATGATGGGGAAAGTAGTCTGATTGACAGGGTGGCAGTTAAAAACAGCATGGTGACAGAACAAAAATTAGAGTCAATCTTTCAGGATTTCAGGAAGAGAACAGGAGAAGTTGGACTGAATTTCTGAGTAAGTGCACCACTGTGTTTCAACACCAGGGGTCACATGTCACTTACTGGTCAGGAACCAGCAACAAGGAGTTCAGGAGGGATACTGAGCGATAGCATAGATAAAAATATAGAAACTTACATTTGTACGGTGCCTTTCACAACCTCAGGATGTCACAAAACACTTTCCATGGATGTGTAAATAGAATGTATAATCTGAAATCTTTAATGATAAACACTCCTTATAAAATTGTGTTTGACAAAATGTTTTAATTATCTTGAAGTTATATTAACATATTGATTCATTATTGTATTATGTATTTTAACATTATTGATTCAGTTGTATGCACTACCATCACAATGAAGATATTTCAGTCATATACCTTTCACATACTTAAGATGTCCCAAAGTATTTTACAGCAGCCAACATTTTGAAGCGTATTCAGTGCTGCAATGTCAGAAAAACAGAAACCAAGTGGCGCACTGCAAATGCGACAATAATTGCAAACAGCGATCTTTCATAGTGATGTTCACTGATTTAAAGAATAGATATTGGCTCAGGACATCAGGGAGAACTCCTCTGCTCTTCTTCACATAAAGCCATAGGATGTTTTGTTACACCAGAAGTAGTAAATGGGGAATTGGTAGGGAGATGATCTGACGGTAGAGTGCTGAAGTGTAATCTTAAATAAAGACAAAAAGACTAATTTTTCACCTTCTTCAATCACACATCCCTTTAAGTGGGAGATTTAAATTGGAACCTAAAAATGTTTTCTTCTTTTCCTTTTATTTAATGATTTTGTTCAATGATTTCCACAATGTTTTCTGTTCTAGTTGTACTCGATCTGTGGATCCCGTTTCTTCCCTCCTGGGAGATCAGCTTATTCAGGAGTTGCTGGACAGAATTCATATCGCCACTGAGGTCATGAACCAAAGGCAAGCTGCTCAAATGTCTCCCCTGAAATGGGAGGCATAATATATTGCTGGGACCCACACAACGGACACGGTCTAAATTGGAAGCTGAACATAAGCCAGTGTCCTAATCTGCATCAGGTCCATTCACCCATCACCCATATGCTCACTGACCTAAATAGGTTCCCAGTGTGGCAACATCCTGAGTTTTGACTTCAGTCTTTGCCTTCCATTCTCTTCATGGCTCTGCACTACATTGAATGTCCTACATAAATGGCAGTATTTAATGTTGTTGTTGAAGAACAGCAAATCATCTTTCTGTTTAGCATGTTACAACCTTCTAGACTCAACATTGAATATATTAATTCCAGATCATAAGTACTGCATTGTCACCGCTTTCCTCAGCTTGCAGGTGTTGCAATGGAATCATTCTGAGTGCTGGAGCTGTGGCGTGTTTTGATTTGATTTATTGTTGTCACATGTACCTAAGCACAGTGAAAAGTTTTGTTTTTCATACTATACAGGCAGATCATAACATACAAGGACATATAGATCATAGGGTGATTGAACAGTGTGAGGCATACAAAGTTACAGCTGCACAAGAGGTATACAAGAGCAAGATCAACATTAGATTTGAAATTTGAGAGGTTCATTCAGCGGTCCAATAACAATGGGGAAGAAGCTGTTCTTGAGCCTGTTGATCTGTGTGTTTAAGCTTTTGCATCTTCTGCCTGATGGGAGAAATTGGAAGAGACTATAACCAGGGTGGGTGGGGTCTTTGATGGTGTTGACCTCTTTTCTGTGGCAACAATAAGTGTAGATGACGTTGGAGATCCCCAATAGTATATGGCGTGTGGTAATCTCTGCATCACTTATTGCCACAGTCTGGGAGCCTGTCCCCTTTGCCACATTTTCCACACATTCCTCCAACTCTGCTGGTCTGCTCAGGACCAATTATACATTTTTTTTGTTCACTTATTTTGTGCCACTGTTGTAATGTAAGAAATTCCCACAAATAGTGGTCTGGAATTCACCAGATAATCTGTTGTTAGTCATGTGGGTGAAAGATAATTATTGGCCAGGACACCAAGGTGAACTATTCTTCTTTGAAATGATTCCACTGGAATCCAGCTAAGAGGATAGATAGAACCATGGTTTAATTTCTCATCTAAAAGACAGCACCTCTGACAATGCAGCATTCCCTCAGTACAACACAAGGGATATCATAGAATCATATAGCACAGAATAAGGACATCTATTCAGTCCATCAATTCTATGCCAGCTATGTGGTTCTATTTCCCAGGCTTTACCTCATAGGCCTGCAAATTTTTACCTTTGAATTTTTAAAACTTCCTTTTGGAAATTATTATTGTATCAGTTTCAATTTCTTTCAGGTGGTGCTTTACATATCCTAACAACTCGATCCATAATAAAACACTCTTCATCTCATCTCTGGCTGTTTTGCCAATATTCTTTAATTAGTGCCCTCTTGTTACATTTCTGCTGTGGAAATGTTTTTCATTATTGCTTAAAATTCTTCATTATTTTAAATGCCTCCATTAAATCATCTCTGTTTTAAGGAGTAAAACATCCAGCTTCTCCAGACTCTCCTGAACTTCCTCATCCTTATCGTAGTTCTAATAAATATACTCTGCCTCCTGTCGAAGGTCTTAAGAACATAAGATGTAGGAGCAGAAGTCAGCCATTCAGCCCATCAAGTATGCTCTGCAATTCAATAAGATCGTGGCTGATCTAATATTTGTCAACTCCACTTTCTTGCCTTTTCTCTTACTGAATAAAATTCTATTTCAGCCTTGAAGATACTTAATGACCCAGCCTCAACAAACCTCTGCAGTAAAGAATTCCGCAGATTCAATACCTTCTCAGAGAAGAGATTCTTTCTCCAACTCTGCCTTAATTGTGTGACCGCTTATTCTGAGACTATGCCCTCTGATCATAGACTCTCCCACAAGAGGAAACAACATTTCCTCAACTGCCCTGTGAAATTCTGTAAGAATCTTGTTATTTTCAATAAAGTTGCCTCTCATTCTTCTATATTCCAATGAGTACAGCCCAAACTACTCAACCTCTCCTCATGATACAGTCCCTCCATACTTAGTATCAGTCTAATGAACTTTCTGTGACCTGCGTCCAATGCCAGTATATCTTTCCTTAGAAAAGGGGCCCAGAACAGTTCACAATATTCCAGTTGTGGTCTGATTAGTGTGTTGTATAGTTTTAGCTAAATCCATCTATTGTTATACTCCATTCCCTTTGAAATAACAGCCAACATTCCACTTGCCTTGGCTACTACCTGCTGAACTTGGTTGCTAGCTTTTTGTAATTCAGGGACAAGGACTCCCAAATCTCTCAGTTCCACAGTTTTCTGCAATCTTTCTCCATTTAAGTAATATTCAGGTCCTCTCCTTTTCCTTCCAAAGTGCATAACTTCACATTTTCCCACATTATATTCCATCTGTCAAGATTTTGCGCACTTGCTTAACTTGTCTTTATCCCTCTGCAGACTCGTATCCACCTCACCACTTGCCTTTTCACTTATTTTTGTGTCATCCACAAACTTGGCTACAGTACATTAACTTTCCTGATGCAAGTAATATATCATAACTAATATTCCTGTCATATGGTGCCCATAAAGGGGCTTAATCCTCCAGCTGGGGTCTTTGATCTTTGAAGAGTTAACTTGCATGTCAGCATCTTCTATCCGCCTCCCACTCTCTCCCTATTTATTTCAGAACCCCCTTCCCCTCCCCCTTTTCTGATGAAGGGTCTAGGCTGACGTTTCGGGCCTTTCTGCTCCTATGATGCTGCTTGGCCTGCTGTGTTCATCCAGCCCTGCACCTTGTTGTCAGCTATGATGTTGTGGTCAAGCATCAGTGGTGGGGTGTGAACTCACAACCTTCTGATCAGAGGTGAGAATAACACTAATGGAATCGAGACTGATAATCAGGTCCCTTGTGCAGGCTTGGTGAGCAGCCTGAACATCATTTTCTGGACCTTAGCCGAAATTGCTCTGAAAACGATCACGAGGAGTTCAACTCTAGAGGTACAAGTTCAAGTCTTTCTCAACTTGCTATTATCATTGTCCTTTATTGTGGGAAGTATACAGAATGTGCAGCACAGAAACAAACCATTCTCACCATCTATGACTGACATTTAGGCTTTACAGGAAGCTTCTCCCATCCTTCCTCCCTCAATGATATCAGAATAACCCTCTATTTCCTCCTTCGTCATACACTCCCACCCAGTCATAATCTTTTCCAACTTCTCCCATCAGGCAGAAGATACAAAAGCTTAAACACACAAACCAACAGGTTCAAGAACAGTTTCTTTCCCGCTGTTCTTAGACTTCTGAATGGACCTCTCAAATCGCAAATCTAATGTTGATCTTGCTTTTTGTGCATGACCTTTGCAGCGTAACTTTGTATTCCTGACTCTATTCAATCACCCTAAGATCTTTGCATGTTATGATCTGCCTGCACTGCACAAAAGCAAAACTTTGCACTGTACCTAGGTAAGTGATAAAAATAAATCAAATCAAAAATCAAGTACACTCATCGATCTAGATGTTAAATGCATCTGTAACATTCACCTCAGCTATTCCCTGTCATAGTCAGTTCCAGATTCTCCCCATTCTCTGAGTAAAGGAATTTCTTTTGAATTCCCTGTTTGAATTTCCTGGTGTCTCTGTTATATTGATGGCCTTGTTCTGCACAAGTGGAAACAAATGTCTACTTAAAGCTTTCAAAAAGATCTGAGTTGATGACTGGTACTTAGTACTCCCTCTGACACTGAAGTGTGGAGGAATTAGAGGTGTGAATCTGTGATTTAAGGCAATGTTGAACTGATCGTTGGTTTCCCCTCTTACCAATGTGTGTTTCTTACAGGACCCAGGATCCCCAGTGATGTGATCGCTTGAAACTCACCAATCACAGGAATGGCATCACAGTTACAAATTAATCTTTGTCTTAGCAAATCTATAAAGTTTTGAAAAAATGTAAAGGCATTCAGTAAATCAATAAAAAGGAACTCAGTGCACAACTTTACAAATCACTCATTTACTTTAATAAAAGCAAAATACAGTGGATTCTGGAAAACTCATTTGCTTTTACTTTCTCAGCTCCTATGAGTTTCTCAGTATCACCACCTTAAACATTCATTCACGCCACTAGTGGCACACTCAATGCTGTGTGTATAGAATATGCTGCAACCTCCATCATTTCGAGCAGCTAATGCAATGGGAACATCACCACCCACAAGTTCCCCTTGAGTTACACAACATCCTGATTAAAACCATATCATTATTCCTTCACTTTTTTAATTCACTTGTGGGGCATAGAATTCCTACAATATAGAGGCAGGCCATTTGGTCCATCAAGTCCACACTGCCCCTCTGGACAGCATCCCACCCAGACCCATTCCCATACCCTAGTCCTGTAACTCTGCATTTCCCATGGCCAATCCACCTAACCTGCACATCTTTGGCCTGTGGGAGGAAACCCACACAGACCCGGGAGAACATGCAAACTCCACACAGACAGTCACCCAAGGCTGGAATTGAACCCACGTCCCTGTCACTGTGAGGGAGCATTGCTAACCACTGAGCCACCATGCTGCTGGCTGGCTAGCATTTATTACCTGTCCCTAATAGCACTTAAGAAGGTGATGCTGACTTGCCTTCTGAAACTGCTGCAGTCTACACACTATAGGTTGTCCCACAATGCCTTTAGGAAGGGAATTCCAGGATTCTGACCCAGCAACAGAGAAAAAACGGTGATGCATTTCCAGGTCTGGCAGCATCTGTGAAGGAACAAACAGAGTTAACGTTTTGGGTCCGGTGACCCTTCCTCAGAATTGATCTTTAGTGAACTTTTGTAGTGCATCTTGTAGATAGTAGACATTGCTTCTACTGAGTATCAGTCGTGGAGAGAGTGAATGCTTGTGGATGTAGTGCTAATCAAGCGGGCTGCTTTGTCCTGGATGGTGTGAAACTTCTTGAATGTTGTTGGAGCTGTACCCACCCAGGCAAGTACGGAGTATTCTATGACACTCCTGACTTGTGCCCTGTAGACAGTGGACAGGCTTTGGGGAGTCAGGAGATGAGTTACTCGCTGCAGTATTCCTAGCCTCTGACCTGCTCTTGTAGCCACTGCGTTTTTGTGGTGATTCCAGTTGAGTTTCTAGTCAATGGTAACTCCAAAGATGTTGATAGTGGGGAATTCAGTGAAGGTAACACCATTGAATGGCGAGGCATGGTGATTAGATTTATCTCTTATTGGAGATTGTAATTGTTGCTGGAATATATGTTGGAACCCTCTTCTTAACATCACCATGGCTGTACCTACACTAAATGGCCTGAAATAGTTTGCCGAGGTGGATCAACACCACTTTCTCATGCGCCATCATGCAAACTCTGAAAATTTCTAAAACTTCAGATTCTAAACCATGAAATAAAACTTGCTTATTTAGCTTTTTCTTAAATTTGTTACGATTTTTTTTTGCGAAATCTAATCACATGCAACTGTTACAGGACCTTGAACTAAATATACACATGAAGGAGATGCCAAGGAACATAAACACCAACACAGACCAATTTCTGTGCGGAAAGACACACCAATGGCAGCAATTAAGGAAGTGGATGACAGAAAATTGGAGGCAGGATGGGAAATGTAGTTTAATTTAGAGCGGAAAGACTGCCGCTTAAATAGTGCTTAGGAGAGTTTCGAGATGTGTTTACAATATAGTAACAAAGAAACTGAAACAGCCAACAGTGAAGGAGTTACTCCAGGGGGAAGGAGAAGAATCGCTACTTTACCAGCTCCTGAAGTTGCTGTTTCCGTGTGGCAGGCGGATGGAGTCAGCGCTGAACCGGGAACAAGGCGGAGCTGGTGAATTGGATCCTTGGTTCCTGACCTCTTCCTTGCCGTGAAAAATAAAACAGACCCGGAGGCAGCAAAGATGCACCGCAGGGGAGTTGGAGCCGGTGCCATCGCCAGGAAGAAACTCGCCGAAGTAAGTTACAACGTCCTGTCCTTTTCCTCTCCGGCTACCATTCATTACTCCGACACCCCCCCCCCCCAGTCATGATGTGTTGCCCAGCTTCTCCATTTACAATCAGTTTTGCTTTTCCTTAGCCTATCTGCCTCTTCTCCTAGCCAGTCTGTTGCCCCCCCCCCCCCCCCCCCCCGTTCCTATCCCCCTGCTCCCCTCCCCCCCGCCACCCCCCCACCAATGCCCCTCTCGTCCTCCATCCACCAGTCACCCTCCTGTGGCCCTCCTCCTTTAGTGAATAGTCAGGAACATGCAGAGAAGTATAATATGGAAAAATGTGAAGTTCTTGACTTTGGTAGGAAAAACCGATGTGCAGAATATTTCTTAAATTGTAAGAGATTGGGTTTGTAGATATAGAAAGGGGCCTGGGTGTCCTTGTTGATAAATCATTGAAGGCTAACATGCACGTGCAGCAGCTATAGTAAGGCTAATGTATGTTAACCTTTATTGTAAGAGAGTTTGAGTACAGAAATGATGAAAGCTTCCACAATTGCTTGGTTAGGCTGCAGCTGGAGTACTGTGTGCTGGTTTGGTGTCCTTCTTTCAGGAAAGATATTGCCATTGAGGGAGTGCAACAGAGGTTCACCAGACTTGTTGCTGGGATGGCGGGACTGTCCTATGAAGAGGGATTTGGCACACTGAGCCAGTAATCTCCAGAGTTTGAAGAGACGTGCTCTAATTGAAACCTAGAAAATACTTAAAAGGAATAGACAGGGTTAGACATAGGTAAGATGTTTCCCATGGTTGGGAGCCTAGAACCAGAGAACACAACTTAAAAATAAGGGGGAATGCTGCTTAGGTGTGAAATGAAGATTGTGAATCTTCAGACTCCTCAACCACAGAGGACTGTGGAGGCTCAGGTTTTGAGGTAGAGTTTGATAGATTTCTAACTACCAGTGGCGTACAGGGTTATTATGATGGGGTTGGTAAAAGGCATGAAGCGTTCGTTCAGCCATGATTGTATTGGATGGTGTGGCAGGCTCGATGGACTGAATAGCCTATTCTTGCCTCCATGAGGACAGGGTCTGTTGCCAGACACTGCTAATTGAGGACTATATCTCAAGGAAAAGAAAATAAAACCACTTGAAACTGTCTCTGTGGGTGGAATTCTCACCTGAGTAAGAAGGCCATGCATTCAAACCCTGCTCCTGAACATCAAACTCTCCTCTCAGTTCTGCAAGCACATTAGAAAACACACGTCTGTCTTTGTTTTCTTTCTTACTCTATTAATGGTATTTTGCTGCTTAATGTTTGCTAACCGGATTTTCTTTAGGCCAAGTATAAAGAGCGAGGAACCGTGATGGCTGAGGACCAGCTGGTTCAGGTGAGTGGATATTACTATGAACTCAAACCCTTTTAATTAATCACTTTTACTGTCTGATGTTGACACTTTTTTGGTTTCAGCGCCATCTTGTAGAGAGGATCAATGCTCTGTCTTATCCAAAGATTTCTGAATTTTTCTTGGTCTTTGCAGATGTCAAAGCAGCTGGAAATGTTCAAGACACATCTGGAGGAATTTGCCAGCAAGCACAAACAGGAGATTCGGAAAAACTCAGAGTTTCGTGTTCAGTTTCAGGATATGTGTGCAACAATTGGAGTGGACCCTCTCGCCTGTAATCCTGTTCATTCACCTCTCTCCAGTTTCCTTTTGAATTCGCATCTTCCCTGATCTTGAAATGTTAGGTTCATTGCAGAAAGTTTTACTCTGTATCTAATCCTGTGCTGTCCCTGTCCTCGGATTATTTGATGGGGTAGTGTAGAGGGAGTAAAAAGAGTAGAGGAAGGCTTTACTCTATATCTAACCCTCTGCTGGCCCTGTCCTGGGTGTGTTTAATGGGGACAGGAAGCTTTACTTTCAGTTTAAAGGAGTAGACAGAGCTTTACACTGTAGCTAATCCTGCACTGGCCCTGTCCCAGGAGTGTTTGATAGGCAGTGTTGGAAGAGCTTTACTTACACTTTACTTTCAGTCTCGAAAAGTAGAGGCAGCTTTCCTCTGTAGCTAATCCCATGCTGTCCCTGTCTTGGGAGTGATGGGGACAGTGTAGAGTCAGCTTTACTCTATATAACCTCTATATTAACAGTCCTGGACTGTTTTTATGGAACGTTGAGGCACGTTTATTTGCTTTTAGTTTAAAAGAGTAGAGGAAACTTTACTTTGTCTAACCCCATGCTGTCCCTGTAGAAGGAGTGTTTGATGGGGAAAGTGTATAGAGAGCTTTACTTCCAGTTTAAAGGATTAGGGAGAGCCTTACTCTGTATCTAACCTCTTGGGAGTATTTGATGGGGAGAGTGCGGAGGAAGCTTGACTCTGTGTCTAACCCCGGCCTCCGCTGGCTGTATCTGCCCTGGGAGTGTTTAATGTTGTGATATGTGAGAAATTGTTGGGACTTCTGTTCGCTTGCACTGATGAACAAAAAAAAATCTCAAAATTCTGTCACATACACAAGTTTATTTAATTTTCTCCTTGCAGCTGGCAAAGGCTTCTGGTCGGAGATGCTGGGTGTTGGTGACTTCTACTACGAACTGGGAGTGCAGATTATTGAAGTGTGTCTGGCTCTGAAACATAGAAATGGAGGTGAATCTCTCATTGTCCACGTTAAGTGAGTGAGATGGTTTGCATGAGATTATGGTCATGAGTGGCAATTTAAAAAGTACTTTCATCCAGCTTAGCTGCTTGCTTACCGAATAAAGATAGTTGAAGGGTTCAAAAGTGCAGAACTTTAGTTTTAAAGTGTATGGGAGATGGTTGTATGAAATAGCCACACAGCCCTGTGTACAACAACAAATTCAATGTATATTTTTGCATAAAAGGGAATCCTAAAGGGCTGATTAGACACCAAAAAAAAATGTACACAAGGTGACATGGATCATGGATAAGCTATTAAATAAGTATTTTGCATCTGTCTTACCAAGTGAGATGATATTAGCCAGGCCAGTGTGACAAAGGAGGAAGCCTAATCATTAGCAGGGTGAAGAAATTGATAAGGAGACAATATTTGATAAGCTGATGGCCCTTAGTTAAGAAGGCACCAGGACTAGATGAGATGTAAGGAAGAAAGAGTAGAAATTGCAGAGGCACTGGCAATAATCTGGATTCCGGGATGAGGTGGAGGACTGGAGAATTACAACATTTTTTGAACAAAGGTGTGATTAAAAACAATTACAGACCAGTCAGTTTAACTTCATTGGGATGGGGAAACTTATAGAAACACTGATTTGGAATAGATTTAATAGCCACATGGATATGGGAGCCAGCTTGGATTTATTAAAGACCAAAAAGCATTTAATACAGTGCCACACAACAGATTTGTGAGGAAAGTTATAGTCTATGGAATAAAAGGGACAGTAATATCATGGACACAAAATTAGCAGAGTGACAGGAAGCAGTGAGTACTGTTCAGTAGATATTATTCATACTGATGGAAAGTTTGCAGTGGAGTTTTCCAGGTCAGTGCTGGGATCCTTGCTGCTTCTAATTTATGTAAATGATCTAGATCTTTGAGTGCAGGGGACAATTCAAAATTTGCAGATGATACAAAACTTGGAAATGTTGTAAACTGTGAGAACAGTGTACATTTCTGCACACCACACTCTAGGAAGGATGTGAATGTATTGGGGAGGGTGCAGAAAAGATTTACAAGAATGGTTCCAGGGATGATACACAATAAAGATAGGAGAAGTTGGCACTGTTTCCCTTGGCGAGGAGAAGGCTAAGAGGAGGTTTTATTAAAGCTTCAAAAGTCATCAAAGCTGTGGGCAGAATAACAGGGAGACACTGTTCCTGTGCAGAAAGGATCAAGAAAAGAGGGTACAGATTTAAAGTATTCGCAAAATAAGGAGAAGTGACATGGGTTCAGTTGAGGTATTCAAGAGGATATTGGATAATTCATTAAATATATATAACGAGCAGGGTATTGAGAAAGGGCAGGAGAATGATAATACATAACGCCTATTCAGAACGCTTATTCAGAGCGCTGGTGCAGACATGATGGGCCGAATGGCCTCCTGCACTGTAACAGTTCAGTGATATGGCACTGAGTAAATCTGATACTGAGCTACACGAGGACAGATTAGGACAGTTGACCAAACTACTTAATTGAAGAACTAAGTTTTAAGGTGTATCTTAAAGGAGGGGACAGGTAGAGATATGGAGAATGTAGGAAGGACATTCATGGCTACAAATGGTGCAGAAATCAAAGTTGAGGTGAGCAAGAGGCATATTTGTACGGTGGTGAGTTGAAAGGTTAGGGTGCGACCATGGATAAACACATTGAGAATTGTGAAGTTGAAGCAAACCCAGTCAGCAAGCATGAGGCGATGGGTAAATGGAACTTGGTGTGAGAATGATCCTAATGAGTAGGAAAAGCTGCTCATTCTGTACGTTTAACTTTTGCCAGGTCTGATCACATTGGACGAGCTGCACCAGCGTGTGCTGAAAGGTCGAGGCAAGTTTGCCCAAGATGTCAGTCAGTGAGTAAAACAGGCAACTCCCAATGAAAGGGATCCATAATTGATTTAAATCTGCTCCTACCTTTTTATTTGCTTAAGGCTAGCTGATAATCATCTGAGACTACACTTCATGGAGTCCAAGAAATTTAGAGCACAGAAGGAGGCCATTTGGCCAATTATGCTGGTTCTTTGAAAAAGCAGTGATGCTGACAGTGATAGTTGTTTGGAACTCTCTTCTGCAAATGGCAGTTGATGATTGATCAAGTAATAAATATTAAATCTGAGTTTGAAAGATTCGTGTTAACCAAATTTCATAAGGGATTTAGGCCAAAGGCAGAAATATGATGTTAGGTGACAGATTGGAACTGGCTTGAGGTCTCCTCCTTTTTGGGGGTGAGAAAAAGCCTAGACCAGGGTCCATGACCTTGAAGTTAGGTTTCTCAGTGGTGATCTCTGGAGGCACTTCATCGTATGAAAGATATTGGAAATCTAAAACTCTCTCTCCCCTCCACACTTTAAAAAAAACTGTTGAGGCTGAGAATCCATTGAATATGTCCAGTAAACATCTGATTTTATTGTCACATGTACCGAAATATTGTGAAAAGCTTTGTTTATGAGCGGTACAGGCAGATCACAGCAAGCAAAGCATGTACAGATCGAAAAGAGTTGGAGGCATACGGGTTAAATTATGAGGCTAGAGTCCATTTGGCAAACTCTATTTTGATGATGGTGTTAAGAATTATGGAACCAAGGTGAATAAGATCCAGATCAGCCAAGATCTAACTGTATGGTGGAACAGGCTTGAGGGCTGAATGGCCTCCTCCAATGTTGTCATTGACTGATTTTTATGATGTTTCATTTGCCCCTTAAGTCAGTCACATCAACCAATGACTTCCGCCTTTGTTTTCTCTTTTACCTGACACCCAACCACAACTTGTCTTACCTTTCCTTCTCAGGGATGATCTCATTCGGGCCATCAAGAAACTGAAATCCTTGGGTAGTGGTTTCAGTATAATCCCAATGGGAGGTGGATACCTGGTGCAGTCTGTCCCTGCAGAGCTGAATATGGATCACACGGTGGTACTGCAGATTGCAGAGGTAGGTGACCTCATTCATTTCTGAGACACAGTTGGTGGACTGAGGGAATGTTTAATAACCACCTGCAGATTTTTACATAATCTAACCTCTCACAGCACATAGCAGGAGCAACAATCGAACAAACTTCAACACTGAGCCACATAGAGGTATTGAGACAAGTGATCAAGAGTTTGTTCAGAAGTGATTTTTAAGGAGCATCTTGGAGGGGGAGGAAGAGAGGCTGGGAGCTGTCGAGAGGAAGTTTTGGAGAGCTGAAGGCATGCCCACCAGAGGTGGAGCATCTAAAATTGTGGATGTATGAGAGCATGTGTGCATGAGGGAGACACCCTGCTTTCTGATTTTTGACAACTGTTCACGTGGCTTTGATCTCTTCATGCCTTCGATCTCTTCATGCCTTCCTGCCATCCACTCATTTTCAGCTCACTCTTTGTAGACACCCTCTATTGTTCTGGGATTGTTAAAATTCATTTGTGGAATGTGGATGTTGCTAGCTAGATCAATATTGTTGCCTATCCCTAATTACCTTGGAGGAGGTGGTAGTGAGCTGGCTTCTTGAATTGAAGTCTTTTGGCAGCAAGAAGGAGAGACAGGCAGAGCCCTTCCAGGATTTTGACTCACTTATAGTAAAGGAACAGCAATTTAATTCCAAGCCTGTGTGGTGTGTGGTTTGGTGGGGAACGTTACAGCTGATGGTGGTTCTGTGTGTCTGCTGCCCTTCTCCTTCAGGATGAAGGAGATTGCAGATTTGGAACGTGCCAGTAAAAGGGGGTGTTGGTGAGTTAATGTTGGGTACTCAAGTGAAGAAAAAGCATTTTAAATATCTGGGTGCAGGTAAGTTTCTCCACAAGGCCTTAATGGTTAAAAATGATTTACATTTATAAAGTGCCTGTCATGACCTTGAGATGTTCCAAACTGCTTTACAGTCAATGAAATTTCTTTGAAGTATAGTCACTGTTGTCATGTCGGAAATGCAAAAGCAAGTAAGCACACAGCAATCTACTACAAACAGCTAGGTTTACAATGGCCAGATTGGTGGTGTTGATTTCAGGATAAATATTGGTCTGGATAACTGGGAGGACTCACCTGCTGTTCAGAATCATACTGTGGGACTGTTCACATCAACCTGGGGTGACAAACTGGACCTTGGTTTAATAATGTCTTTATTACCAGCATCTTTGGTGCAGCACTCCCTCAGTACTGCAACGGGCATGTTAGCCTAGGTTTTTCAGCTCTAGTTTGAGTGGGGCTTGAACAAATGAACCTCTGACTAAGGCTAGTTTCACCTGTAGTAGGAGGTGACAAGATCAAAGAGCATGAATGTGAAACTGACAAAAAGACAATGTCTTATGATAGGTAGAGAAATTAAACTCAGCCACTTTGTGTCTTACAGAAGAATGGATATGTGACAGTCAGTGAAATTAAGTCCAGCCTGAAGTGGGATTCTGAACGCACTAATCAAGTACTGGTCTGTACACCTGCATGTGGAGTATTTTCTGTCTGTGTCTTTCTCTCTCTCTCTCTCACCCATTTCTCCATGGAACAGACTGGGCTGTCTTTTGGGACTGACAACATCACGCTTTCCATAATCTGACAGAACAAGGGAATGGTATAACTGGAGTGAGTCTGGGCAAAAAGTTGATTCTGTTCCTCTATTGCATATGGATGTAGTCTTTTCAACATCGCTTTCTTCATAAGGAAAACTGCTAATAAAGACAGCCCATGTGAACTAAGTGCCTAACCAGAATGCTTTCAATAAATGACTGGATTTTGGTGATTGTATGTTAGGGTTATTTGGGATACCACAGAACAAAAACATAAAAAATAGGTGGTGAAACCTAACCTGTGATTTTTGCCCATCTGTACTAGTGGACAGTGAATATTTAGTCAAAGTAGCCACAAATGTGGATGGCAAATATGAAGATATCAAGAAGCACATTGTTGAACTTTGAGGATTTGCATCCGTTTTTTAAAAAAAATTCAGCATGAACCTTCTTTAAATGTTAGTGTTCAACATTTTTAACTTGTGACGTTGTCTAAAATTACAGTATTTAAAGCAGAGAAACAAGTTCATTCGAGTGTTTATGTTCCTACTCTACTTTATTATCATTCCACTAACATCATTTCTCCATGTTTACCTAGTTTCCCATATGCATGAGTCACCAGACATCCCTCCTGCTAGCAACTTAGTTATTCTCACTGCTCTGTAAAGACATTGTTTTCTTTTCATTACACTGGGGGAGGATGGAAATTCAGCTGTGACTAAGTAGTTAACAATTTAGCTGAGAACCTATGTCAAAAACTCTTGCTGTATAACCTCTTCTAGGAACATTTGTTGAAGGAAGGCTTGGCGTGGATAGACAAACAAGCTCCTGAAGAACCTCAGTACTGGTTACCTGCACTCTTTTCTGATCTATACTCCCAAGATGTCACTCCTGAAGAAGCTGATGAAAGTTTGCCGTGAGGAAAAATTAATACTTCAAACCAGAGAGTAAGCAGACTCCATCCACCTTGATGGTTCTGGTACCAGAATGAAAGATTAGTGTAAAACTGTGGATGTTGAAGTTCTGGATACCCCTAAGAATCTTTTTGTAGCAGGCAATTTCTAGTATCACTGCACATGATACTTGCACAATTAAATGACATTTCTCAGTCTTACCTTGGGTTAGTTTCCATTGGATATCAGACTTTAACTGCTGCTGACAGGCTTTGGATTTTGAGGAAGAAGTCATTTGACATCTGGCTTAAAAACTTTAATTCTGCAAGTGTATTTCAAAATACGGGTGAGGTGGTGTTGCTACAGCTCAAGAGGCGGGAGCAGAATATTTGACCTGTAGAACTATCTGGATAAGTCAACTGAAATGCTAAATACCCTCTAAAGCTTATAATTTCACTGGCAATGAAGATATACAAAATATTGGTCAGAGAAAGAACAGCTGGCTATGTCATGCCTACCCTGCTGGTGTGATGACTGCAGTTATCAGTTAATGACCTTATTGTTCTTCCCTGGTCCCAAATCTTTGACCAACAGATGAGTCACCACTTGGAGGCAGAACCTTAGCATTAGCAACTGAGCTTTGTAATTCAAAACCATCAATTAAATTTTGTCAAAAGAAACCATGTAATGAAAAGGGTTTTATTTTTGCACCAAGTGTTCACTCATTTCAAAAGTAAATTTCCAGCAGAACACACATCACTTCCCTGTGATTCATTAAAAGCAGGTTGCTGAATGCCAGCTTTTATGATTGAAGTCAAATGCAGACTAATGCTGACTGAGGATCAAGTTTTCCTTTTCTTTCTGCTAATCAGGACGTCCCTAGACCCTGAAGCAGTTGGCAGCCACGTAAATAGCTTTTGAGTACTTGACTATCATTCTAAGCAGTTAAACTGACCAGTTCGATCAGTCTCCTGCATATCATCTTCCTATCTGCAGGGCAGGTCCTGACTCTATTCACTTCCCTGTCTTCACAAACTAAGCGGTGTTATGGTTCATTGTACAAACTACAAATTGACAGCTGTTAGAGATGATGTTGTGCTACCATGTTGCTGGAGGGTAAGGAAATAGGCACTTTGAATAAAAGTACAAGAATTCCAAGATTAAATTGTTCCATCACTTCCACCTGTCTTCCTGCTTGTGGAAATTGGAGCAAAAACCTCTTTGATATAGCACAGTCTCTTAGAGAGGGTGCAGATGAGAGTCAATATAATTGCCCAGACATTGGAGGATTATAAATGGAAAGACTGAAGAAGCTGGGATTGTTCTTAACACAGAGACTGTTATTGGGAGATTTTCATAGAGCACACAATGTATTTGAAAAGATGTGATGAACAGACTGCAGTGGTTCCTGAGGGCAGCTCAGTACCACTACCTTATTAAAGGCTACGAAGGAAGGACTATAAATCCCCAAATCCTCTGAATATTAAGTAGATTGTCAGTAGAAGGTTTCTGCCTATTTGGCTGCTGGTCAGAGGTGACAGTTTTAAAATAATGGCAAAAGAACTGGGGGCTGTTGGGAAGACGAGAAGTTATTTGCATGCTGAGTTGTTAGGATCTGAAACAGACAGCCTGAAAAAGGCAGTTCAAGCAGATTCATTACTAAATTCTTGGAAGGAAAGTTGGATAAATAACTAAAAGAAAAGCTGTAGGGAAAGAAAGGGGCATTGGGACCAATGGAAGTATGATGGGCAAACAGCTTCCTTATGTGCTGAGGTGTTAAGTTTGCTTTCATTCAACTAATAACCACAATAAGCCCACTGACCATTTCCCAGTGTAGGTCTAAGCAGAATAAAGTATATGAATCATGCAATTTAGTAGATTTTGTCATCAGCAAATTTTATTGCACCAAAAATTTGAATTGTCACTTATATACAATATGAAACAATATAAACATCAGTGCTTTTTCCTAGTTTGCATATTAGTTGTTAACCACGATTAGACAATCGTTAACCACCTGTATCTGTTAAATTGGTGTTATAGCTGAGCCGAACCAGCAGTACCGGATTGGCAATTAATGGGGTTTTACCCTTTCCTCCTGTTACCTTGAAATGAAGTACCAGCTAGCTAAGAGATGTGTATATAATCTACAGCAAGTAATCCAAAAGATAATTACATCTGGTACCCATTTCAGATGTGTCCAGACAAGTTGGTGATTGAATTATCACCTAACAGGAATGGGAATCCCTCATCAGAAGAGGGGAGACTAGCACAGCAACACATCTGGTACTTAAAATATGCAGTCACTCCCAGTAGCCAGGTACTTGATCTTGTAAGGCATCATAACAGTGAGGTGTACGTAACATGAGAAACCAAGGCAGTGAAAAGACATTTTTTTAAATCTTCCAAAGGAGCTGTGTTATATACAAAACTCTCACCTCATACAATTTGTCTTTTTCTTACTCACTGCTGAGGTGCAGCTCAAAGATAACATGGTCCATGTCCATTAATTCCTGCAAATGACCACTGCTTAAGCTTCAATATGACAAAGAACAGCGTGAGTCACTGGTTTGAGAGTGACTTATGCACAAGCACTTTTCCCACAGGGGATGCCAGGGAGTGACTGGAGATAGAAAGGCTAGGTGAGAAGGGAGGCCAATTGCCAGCAACTCCACTCAAACCATGGGATGAATCAGAGAATATTCTGTTCCGTATGGCCCAGTGACATACTACATTTACCCATCAAAGGTGGAGCAGATACTAAATGTTGGACAATATTACAATGAAGTTTCTGCACCTGAGTTCAGAAGTGAAAGGTAACATCTCATTGGTGCATAGGAGAGGGGTGTTTATCGAAGTTTGCCAATGGATGGCAGTGAATACTGTGCTGGGGGTTAGGGGGAGGTGCCTCAGCAATCTGACTGAAACTAGTCCATGATGGTTGTGGAATGAACTCTGATTGCTAGGCCTTTCAAAAGATGAGCATCCCTTTTAAACAGAAAACATTTTTCACATTAACTATACCTCATAGCTCCAGGCTCTGAAATACTGCTTTAAGTAGTGATAATCCTCACTGTACTCCCATCATCTCTGGAACATTACCCTAGGTCAGGGCAGTGACTGTGTCAATGTCTTGCCTAACATGGGAATTGGAAATAACGTGCAGCCAAGTTTAAGGTGAGGCCCAAAAGTGAAACAAACATGTTACCATCGACGATATCAAATGCAGAATAGAACAGGCAACAGCACGGATGACTGATATGTTTCCCCTGGGTGAATTGCAGCAGTTCAATTAGAGATTTTTAAAAAATAATGCAGTATGTTCTAGGTACTGGACTAATTCCTCACCAGTATGTTTTAACATTAGCCTGATGGAATCTTTCAACTTTCTCTTCCACACTAACCCAGTAGGCTTCAGATTCTATTGGATAGCAGGCTTCTAAGGTTACATCCTTTCAATGTAGTGCTGGTTACCCTGCTCAAAGATGTTGCATTCATAACTGACCTGTATCCTGCTTTCTAACAAAGGCAGGGCTACTTCCCTCAATCCATTTGAAGCAAAATAAAATTCCTGTTTGACAAGCTCTTTCCTCAAAATGGATGGATCAACTACTTTCAATCACAATTCAGTAAAACTGGAATACAATTATTCATCTTATCATGGCAGTGTAAGAATCCTCAGAAATCACTAGAATTCCATGGAATGCTGGTCAAATATTGTAATAATTGAATAGCTAACCAATTGTATTAAAATGGATCTTGTTAAATGCATTTGTCCCAGTATAGTGACAAGTTAGGGGTGAGGGAAATCTTGCTTTAATGCATAACTGGTTTCAAATTGGAAGGATAAACGTTTGAAAGCAGGAAACAAAAGCTGATTCAATTCTGAACTTAAGTCAGTATATGAATTAAATGATGAACTGTTCTGGGTGCAGTGAAGCATTTCCATTGCAAATGGCATTAACTGTTAAAGGGGCTCTGCTGTGTTGCAACAAGCTTGGATTCAGATATATGCAGCATAAACTAGGCTACCAAATGGAAACGATATCTCATCCCTGTGTTCTTTATTGGACCATCTTTCTGTTTCATTATACATGTGGTTAGAAACCCAAATGGTGACAATACATTATTACTGTAGATTATAAGATTAAAACAAATTGCAAAACAGGTCTCAGGATCTCTTTACGGAAAATGTGAATTTGCATTAAAATAGTGGACAGAGGACTGCTAGCCATCATCCTAACTGAAATTGCAAATGAGACTGCTAAAGTGTTCTGACATCAACTCCAATGCTTGGGGAACCCAATTAGGAACTTAACACGAGAATCAGAACTCAAATAACAAGCAATTTTTAAAATCTATGTATATCATATTTATACACTTAAGGGAAAACCTACACTTCAGTCTTTACCATTAATTGGAGTGTAACGTTTAACACTGATAATGAAGCACCATAGATATAAATCCAATCTCTGATGTGGCTTCATTTTAGGGAATTTACAATTATTTTGTAAAGTATGCACCCACCCCTCACCTTGAAAGCAGCAAACTTTTGCTGGTATGGTTGCCAAAAGCATAGGCTCTTTTTGTACCATGCCCCAAATATCTATCCTAATGAGCAAACTGTAGGCTACTATGGAGTGTAGCACACCTTAACATGACTGCAACTCAACAAGTGTGCATATTCCAGCAAATGCTTCTTTCAATGGTCAGGGCAGAAACAGTGGCTGATTGTTACCTTTACCCCCCCACCCACAGTTGCTGAGGTCAACAAAAGCAGCCTAAATATTGCACCGGTATTAGAGACTTTGCTACACCCAGATGAATTGGACAGTGGACAGCTCTGGTTTTTATGACTTAGTTCCACAGTGGCAGACAGATTCACCAACTCAACTGTGCAGAGGAGCTTATCAAACCATTTTAGGTTAATTGGAGACAATATCAGTTTGGGAGAAAAAAGTTTTGATAACTCTCAATATGTAAGTTTTCAAGTTATCTGCTACAATCTTTAAACTAAACCAGGATTCTATTCATACTCAAGCTTATTATACATTTGGGGTCCCTGGATGCCTGTAGAATGTAAAACATATGTTGCATTATTTTGAGAAAATACTCAAGGCAAGTTTAGAATCATTGTCAAAGGCAACAGACCAGTGTAATACTGTTCAACAGGTAATCCCATAATAAAAGATTCAAATCACATTCTTAATGACCAAGTGGTCCTTGGTGCTAAACATAGAAATTGTGTATCCCCTTCGGACCACCTGAAATATTGTGTTTAGGAAGCCAGTGATAAGCCTGATCTGTACGATACTACATAGTAAGTGATATTGTTCAATTGTAGATATCTAACAGGGCTGACTGATCTGCTGGGATCAGTCAACACCTTGAGCCCCATACAATCCAGTATCAAAAAGCCCGATTCCTAAAACAATTCCAAAGCCACTAACTTGAACTAGGTCCATGATGTCAAACCCAATCACAGTTCACAGAATAAGTAGCAATAGTTTAGTATGCTACCTTCATAGAGATCGGCACCCCAGCCCATATACTGGCAGTTTGGGGTGAATGAGTCATTGCAAATTTTAACTATAAACATAGACACTGAGTCTCAATGGGAGCAGTTCCTCTGCCTGCCCCTACTCCCTACCTGCATGCAATTCTTCAATAAGGTCTCCTACTC